TGATCGTGAGGAAGAGGCCCTTTACCCCCATCCCGTTAAACATTTTCTTATGAAGTTTATTTAAATACTAAAATATTTTATTAAATTAATTTTTTTTTTTTAACTACGAACTTTTCACTTAATCGTACGAAATGCTTTTTTTGATCGACTAAATGGTTTTTAATGAGAAATGTATGGTAGAAGCTCAGCTCAGAGGGCGCCAGTTATTTGTGTATCCGTGAGACGGTTCCAATCAAATTAATCAAATAAATGCTAGTTTTTGTCTACTTTTCAAAGGTTCAAAATCCAAACACACACTTTAGCTTGGTCATCCGGATAATGAATTTTTTGATTCAAAGAATTGGGTTGCTTAGTGTGATAGTTATGTTTACGTACACATGTGTTACAGTACACTTGAGGGCATCGTGCCCCATCATACTATATACAAGCTCTTACTCTTACCTGGAAAGGGGCGCTGTTGGGCAGATTGAGCAGAGCCACGAGGAACGAGAATAGGTGGGTCCCAAACCCAGCGAGCACCACGGACGTGCCGGAGTCCCCGCAGCCAGAGCGACATCTGGACGCGAGCAATCCTGACATGGCCCCACCGAAGACCTCACCAATGCCGATGCAAATGCCCGACAGTCCGATCAGCCTCTTGCGGTCATCGCCCATGGCCTTGGTGAAGCCGATGCTCGACGAGTACACGGACGACAGGAAGGTCAGCACGAGGCCCGTGTAAATAAAGGTGAGCGTCAGCACGAGCATCCGGGCCGTGAAGAACAGCGCGACTGCGTCCCCGAAGGCCCTCCACGCCGCGGGCAAGGGCCGCTCCTTCGGCTGTTCGGGTATCTGGAGTTCCTTGTCGGCACTGGATACCCCCTCGGCTGGGCCCAGGCTCGACGGCTGGGGTGGCCTGCGCAGGGCAAAGAGCAACCCGAGCCCGGCCACCGACACCCCGGTGAGGACCTTGAAGACGAGGCTGCGCTGGTGGGCGTTGATCTTCGGCTCGCGGAAGGCAAAGAACACGAAGATGTTGCCGATGAATAGGGACGACTGGAATATGGCCCAGAAAAGGCCCGAGTTCCGGGACATGGTCCGGCCGTCGCTGTTGATCGTGAGGAAGAGGCCCTGTCCGGTCCACGCGAGGGCCGCACCTATGCCGACGAAGGCCGAGGCGAAGTAGAGGAGCTCGGTGCGCGGCCAGAGGAACGACGCGATGAAAAAGACGTAGCACGAGCAGCCCACAACGATGCTCGTGCGGGGACCGGTCATCGATATGAAGGACGGGGCCAGCCAGTTGCACAGGGCGAAGCTCGCGTAGATTATCGACAAGCTGAGGTAGCCCTCACCGTGGAAGTCCGGGTCGTCTTCGCTTATGCTTTCCAGTACGGTTTTCTGCGGATCAAAGGGAGGAAAGGGTTTTTTTTTGGTGGATTTATTGCAATGTAGAGAAAGAGGCAGAGAGAGTTTTAACTTTTTTGGAGAATCATATTTTGGCTGGGGTGATATTGATACCATCAGGCTTGAGTGTTTATGACGAATTTATGATTAGTTATCTACGGTTTCGTTTGCATTTTAATTTGTTTATCTATACACATACATACTAATCCGTTGTGTAACGAATCAAAAAATTTTATTAAAAACTTGTACATATACCTAAATATTTAAAATTTTTAATCTCAAAGCAGAAAGTTCTTGAATATTGAAAAATTTTCGTGAAGACCACACCTCGGACCACACACGTTCGTAAATTATCAATAATCGCGGTGGACGCGAATCTTTGCTCAAGTTCGAATTGAACTTGGATCAATTATCACACTTGAACATATTTTCAAACAATAACTCATTCATGAAGATTGTTATTGTTGATTGTTATTGTAGTTAGCATTATTTAATTTTGTTTCGCTTAATTATTAAGCTTACATTATTTAAATTTCAGAGAAAAAGATGCCATTTAAATTCCAGAGAAAAGCACGCCAACCGAAGAACTGAAACTTTTATTTTATTTCCAAAACTTTTTTTGAACAATAATGCATCAATTTATCGAGCGACCGCACGGTAGCAATTTAGGCTTGGCTCGCATCTTTGAGAAAGCCAATAATGATAGTGTACAACACAAAAATGCAGAGTTTTTATACGCAGAGTTCGTCAGAATGAACGTAAAATAATAATAAAAAAAAAAAAAATTTGTCGTGCGTGCGTGCGTCACATATCTTATTTAGTTTATATAGGATAACGCTTATTTTTTCCGTGACCGTTATCTACTAATCATAAAAAACTTATTTTATTATCTAGTTACTTAATTATGGATTACTAAGAGTATTTTTAAAGCAAGGCACATCTTTATCACACGCTACAAACATATTTTATTTTTATTTTCC